GTAATGGACACAGATGTTGAACAGATTGAAACTTACACACATGAAGATAGGCGGACGAATGTGAAGGTAGGTTCTTTCAGTACCTGGAAAGGCGTTTAATATTTTCTTTTCGATCTTTCACCGCGTGAACGTATGTTCAAAATATTGTAGGGGTCAGAGCCACAAACTATGTTTAAAATTCATAGGAAACCTTGAACACCCATTGGACTGTGAATAGAAAGCAATCAATTATTTTTATTAGCACACGAATCCATTAATTACAGGTTCCTGAATTACACCAGTTCCCGTTCATTGCATAGTGATGTAAGTCAATCAGACAAGGGATAATGGTGTGCGTATTTCCTTTGAGTTAAAGAGCATTGCAGCTTAATCAACACTAATTTCGGAATTTTGACTTCTGTAGAGACTGAAAATCTTGTACGTGTTTTATCAGGCTTTTGAATTACCTTCTTCGGCAAACAAAGTAAAGTTGTTTAGTGTAGAACTTCCTTCTTGTCTTGCGATTTGTTTATTCACTTCACTGCTGCGAAGCGTAAAATGAACGGCTGCTGGGAAACCGAAAATTGATTGTATTTCGCTTTTATATTTCTCGATTATTTCCGAAAAGGTACACGCGTATAATTAGTACGTAGGAGTGGCAAACTTCCGCCTTTTAAAGAGACGGATTTCTTATAATAAATGAAGATCTAATTGCACGATTTTACGCCTCTTCTCCGGCGTAAATGTAAACTTATTTCGTATTAGTTGCCACCTCAACCGTTTGAAGTATCATGCCATTCAGCAAACGATAGTTTAAGAAATCAAATTTCCGCTTCTTTGTCTAATAGTATTCGTAGCTTTTCTTGACGGAAAGAGTCGGTTAAATAAACATTTTGTGTTTGTGTACTTTATACCGCGCTGCGATAATTCAAATTACACGCCTTTTATTGGTACGTTTCTTTTTCGTATTTTATGCTACTTCTCCTCGATCCGTGCCATTACGTTTTTGATAATTATATTTTACTTGGTCAATGTTATAATTTTCAATTTCCAAAGAGCACTTTGAAAATTAAAAAAAAGGAAGAAAAAATAGATAAGGAAGGAATCAAAATTATTTTTAAGTGGAGAAAACGATAGAGCAAAAATAAGATCAAAGATGTCAATTTCATTTCTTTTTTGTAATATAATAATTCTTTCTCTACGCAAATAGGTTCTCTTAAAATTCCCATTCTCTACTACAACTATCGTTTTTTGTTAATATTTTGTTCAATTTCAAAACTTGTTTCTAATATTAGTAGTCAGTTTCTCGTTTGCCTCCAATATTTAGAGACTTTTTAATAATTTCCATAACAATCTATGAGGCAGACAAAAAAAGCAATAGCTGCCAAATCAGGGGCAAAGGTTTAGTAAAAAAAAATGAAACAAAATTTAAATTAGAAACATATTTAAGCTTGTTATATGAACACAAAATTGTTTTACAAGAATATATAGAATAAACATACTTAACAATTAATGAATAATGACACAATGAAACAAAAGAAATAGGCGTAACACACAAAACCAGGTGTCAAATTCTTGACAGAATAGCTTCCTAGCTGAAACCAAAAATTGCCAACATATGTTTTTTTACGCATGCATTTTGTTTGCTTTTATTAGAGGGACCTACCATGCAAATTTCGTTAAAATTGCTCCATAAATAAGAAAGTTGGATGCTGCACATGCGCAACACTATTTTTTGCGCATGCATTTTGTTAGCTTTTATTAAAAGGACCTACCATCTAAATTTCGTTAAAATTGTTCCATAAATAAGAAAGTTGCATTTCTGCGCATGCGCAACACGATTTCTGCGCATGCGCAACACGATTTTTGCGCATGCATTTTGTTTGCTTTTATTAGAGGGACCTACCATCCAATTTTCGTTAAAATTGCTCCATAAATAAGAAAGTTGAATGTTGCACATGCGCAACTCGATTTTTTGCGCATGCATTTTGTTAGCTTTTATTAAAAGGACCTACCATCTAAATTTCGTTAAAATTGTTCCATAAATAAGAAAGTTGCATTTCTGCGCATGCGCAACACGATTTTTGCGCATGCATTTTGTTTTCTTTTATTAGGAGGACCTACCATCTAAATTTCGTTAAAATTGTTCCATAAATAAAAAAATTGCATTTCTGCGCATGCGCAACACGATTTTTGCGCATGCATTTTGTTTGCTTTTATTAGAGGGACCTACCATCCAATTTTCGTTAAAATTGCTCCATAAATAAGAAAGTTGGGTGTTGCACATGCGCAACTCGATTTTTTGCGCATGCATTTTGTTTTCTTTTATTAGGAGGACCTACCATCCAAATTTCGTTTTAATTGTTCCATAAATAAGAAAATGGCATTTCTGCGCATGCGCAACACGATTTTTGCGCATGAATTTTGTTTGCTTTTATTAAAGGGACTTACCATAGACATTTCGTTTAAATTGCTTCAGAAACAAGATCGTTGCGTTTTGCACATATGCAACACAATTTTTTGACTTTGACAATTTTTTTCTCCGTTTTTTGATAATATAACCCGGCCCAATTTTTTGTAGGTTGTACACAGGAAAATAAGGTCTTCCAAATAATAGAATAAAAATTTTAGGTTGCTATTTGAAAAAAAAAAGTTCGATGCCGTTACTGCGCTCCAAAATTTTTTTTCAAAAATCCGGCCCGTTATTTTTCTGTTCGGTATGCCTAAAACATATATACAAAATTTTAACAAAATCCGTCGAGCCGTTTTCTCAGAAATTTGCCAACAAACGTACGTACGTACATACAGACGGAAAAAAATTTTATTCTTTAAAAGTTGCTTAAAATGGTCTAAAACGTCGACATTTGATGAAATTTTGAAATGTTCAAAAAACGGCTATCGCAATAGCTACCTAGCACAAAAAAGTACTGTATTGAGTGTAGCATTTTTTAATACTAATCGAACAATATATTTCACACACAAAAAAGCAAACGTTGGAAACTGTTGGTTTCAACAGAATGGTGCACCCGTGCACAATGCTCTAATCGTGCCAGAATACCTATCGGATTTTAATTGCAAGGAAATTTGTCCGATAGGTATTCTCGCACGATTAGAGTGCTGTGTACGGGTGCACCATCCTGTTGAAAGCAAGAGTTTCCAACTTTTGTTTTTTTAAGAGCCAGATAAAAATTTAAGTTGATGATGATTTGTCCGAAACGAAACGTTGTATTGAACATCTCTCAAGGCTGTCTTGTAGACAATGGCAATGGGAAAGTGTTTTCTATTTTTTTGTATATGTTCAAATAACATCAGAAAAAAATAAAAATCAAATCGGCAAATTTCAGTGTTTATGGCATATCAGCGGGAGTAATCGGAATTTTCTAGTTCTCTATAAAGCTTGATCATAACTGTTTGATTACGCAACTTTTCCCTAATTTGACCGTCGTATCTTCTATGGTTTCAGAGATCCCCATGATAGCCATCCTTATCTTGGACACAGTGTATATGTGACAACAGGTCTTCAAGAACTTTATAAAACAGCTGCAAATACAGGGCATCAGGTTGGACAAAACAATGTTCTTGGATATGTTCAAGAGGAAGAGGAAGGTCCAAAGAACATTTTGGGCAAATTTCAAAACTATGTTTTTTTTTCCTGAAAAGTTTTCTAGGAATCTTAAAAATCTTAGAAATTTTCATCAAAATATATTTATAAAAATCTTAGCGGTAGCAGTTGCAGTTTCTATTACTGTGCGTTTTTCATCTCAGCTAAAAATGTGATCACTTTCCTATATCATTTTGCCAAATAGCACCGATTCTAATAAAAATTTGGATTTAGGATCTACTTACCCTTTTCTTCAAAGTTGACTCTGTGCAGCTGTGTTGCTTTTACCCTTGGAATGGATACCATCCCTTCTCAGGGACGAAAAATGTTTCCTTAAAAATAGGTCCCGGGACCCTGAATGGATAAGTAATACGAACGGAGTAATAGCTTGTTGAAGGTCGTGGTTCATATTCGTCAAATGTCAAAATTGAAAGTTTCAATGAGAAATGATAAAAAACAACGCATTTTTCGGGGAAGTTATAGTCATCCATAGCACCTCTTTTTATTTTTTAAGTGAGCTATGGTAAAGATAATGTTGACTATTTTTTTGGTAACAAAAAAAGATAATATATATTATGATTTAAGGACTCCCTAAATACCACCCCAATTTTTCTAATAGTTATTCTCGCACGATTAGAGCATTGTGTGCGGGTGCCCCATCCTGTTGAAACGAACACTTTCCAACTTGGTATATCGTTGTATTTGTAATAAAGAATGCTACTCAATACAATGTGTATTTTTTTTATAGGCCATGTAAAAAATAATGTTGATAATTTCTCCAAAGCAAAACGTTGTGTTGAAAATCTCTAAACTGTGTCTTGTAGTGTTCTAAACTGCACAATGAGGAAGTGTTTATTTTTCTGTATCTGCTGAAATGTTAGGAAAAAATGATTTTTTTTGCAATATCTTTATAAGTAAAACGAATTTTTTGGTTTCCTTCAATTTTCATCCATGTAAAACAAAAATTTTTCCAACAGTATATATTCAGGTGAGTTACAACTATTCGGTTAATGCAGGGTACTTGCACATAGCCACTACATCCCCAGATTACTTGTCGCTCCCCCCCCCCAAGCCCTAAATTTGTTTTTTAAATATCTGGTGATTGCAGCATTTTGTCAAGTATACTTAAATGACTGATGCATGTAATATTTTCTCATTGTACAATAAATAAATAACGTAAAAAAGATGAAGATCAATTCATCTCCCAATCTTGGGATTTATCCTCCCCATCAGCCTCGTTTTGTTGATAATGTAAGGATTTTTGTTAAAATTATCGCACATTTATAAAAAATTCTCAAAATAAATCCTTCTAGTAGAAATTGGTACCTCAAAATATTAACGAATTTATTCTAAAATATGACGATTTTGAATAAGTATACATCGCTTATCAAATGCAATGAGAGCAAAACAAGTTTTTTTTAATAGTGATGGATTCTTACCTTAATATAGAAACAGTATCCGATAATGCAACTAAAATAGAATCTCTAAATTTCTTTAAAGCATTAGATTCGACCAATTGTACATCAGAATTGGCTAAAATTAACGCTTTTAATAGATAGTACTCTTCTTTTAAAATGCTAATGTTGTCTAACCTTTCCACGACATGACAACACTACAAAAGAAATTAATAACAAACGAACGACATGCGCGCACCGTCGACAACTTACCGTAAAATATAAATCAGCTGCTCCACAATCACGCGACTGACGTTCATCCAAAGTGAAATCCGTCGCAAATTTCAGTCTACCTAATCCTAATAATTGCAAACTTCTATGTGCGAGAGTCAACGTGAGAATTTCCGCCCAAGTACTCTGTAATAGTCGCATCTGATCATTGAGAGACAACTCCGTGAAGCCGGGTATCTGTTTCGCCCAGCCAATTATACCGACCAGTTCTCTGTCGTATAGGTCGCTCAAAATGGACAGTGATCGGTTTTTCATATTTTCTAACGTCGTATTTATATCTAATAAGTCTGGTTCGCATTGTGCTAATACTTCCAACATTTTGATATCTAAAACAAAAAATTTGAAACCATTTACAATTGCAGGTTGAGAAGAACGAACCGTCCAGTGATACGGATGGCCTTTGTGTGGATATCACCTGAATTTGGTAGGGCATCTCGGGATTACGCCTATATTTTTGCCTACCCCCTCGCACCCGGTCCAGTCTTACGCCTTCTTTTAACATGCCGGATCGTAGACACTTGCGAAATCGGCATGCTTGACAGGCTTTTCTTCTCCTTTTATTTATTTCGCATTCTCCATTTGCAGGACAGGTGTATTCGATATTACCTGCAATAAAAATTACCCCCTCTATAGCAAATTGCTCACATCAATAATTACTTAAGTAACTAACTAAACTAAATGTTTATCTAAGAGTAACAATTTCCAAAACAAATGCTTTCTAATGAATAATGATGAGGGAGTGCATTAGACTCATCCTCTTAAAATTTCCCCAACATTGATTTAAAGGGAGATAAAGAAAGGGTGAGAGCTGCTATAATAGAACGGCGAAAAAGTTGGCGCAATCAAAGCTCACAGGAGCAATAACGCCAAACTTTTTGCCAACATAACGCTGCTAAATCCTTTTACACTTGTGCTCACTTTAAAGACAACATTTATACTGTCCAAAACATTCATAGAACGAAAATCTAAGTCTTGATTAAATGCATAAATAAATTGCGTTACTTGCATATAAAATGACTGAAGCACTGTTTTTAATGAATGTTAAAAATTTAAAAAATGATATCCATGATCCTGCGTAAACAGTATTATACTGTATAATACTCCATACAGTGCGGACGCCTCCCCCCTCGCCGGGAAACGGTTTGAAGTACGATTTGAACTTGGGGAAGAAGGGGGTGAGTAAGGTATAAAATACCACATCTTGACATACAATTGATAGTTTCAACTTCCAAAATGGCTACTGGGTCACTTTTTAAATAGAGAGGGTCATTTTGAAAGTCTCGATCCGTAGTTCATCTCCAGAGCGTTCAAATCTCCACTGAAACCCCAGGTAAGATGGGGTGAAATTATTTATGTCATGACCATAAATTTAATTTTAATTTTTTTTCCTGCACAACTGATATGCACCAATTTTTAGACTTTAATTTGTATATGAAACACACCAAACGTCCTCTTAAAAGTAGGTATTTTTTGCTGGCTCGTGTAGTGTAGTTCAGTTCAATCTGGACTGTGGTACTAAGGGTCCCTCGTTCGAATCCGGATTCGAGCATAGATATTTGTAAATGTATAGTGGGTTGGATTGGTAGAGCAACCTTGGCTGAAACCCTGTCCACTCAAAAATAAAGGCATAAATAAATTTAAAAAAATAAATAAAAATTTTAGAAACAATACACTTTGATGAAAGGCCATCTTGGATGGGGTTACAGTGGAGACTTCAAACTCGGGAGACGTACTGTGGCTGAAAATCCTTCAAAATCATATATCATTAAAAAAACTCAAAATACCCTTGGAAGTTAGAACTGTCAAATTTGATGTCAAGAAGTATACATTAGTCACCATGCCCCTCTACCCCAAATTTGAAGTGGATATCTTAAACAGTTTCCCATACAGAAGAAAGGGGAGGGTTATTAACGTCTGGACTGTATAACTAGACTCAACTCTTTAATTTTCCTTTCACTTCCGGTTTAATAGAGTAAAAATAAAATTGAATACTTTTTACATTTTGTATAAATTACTGAAAACAACCGTATCAGGTGTAAAATTGTCTGTCAAATCCAAAAATGCAAAATCCATAAGTGTACTATTGAAATTTCAAACTGTTTGCACCTTTTTCTTATGGCACACTCCCGCTTTTAGAGTTCTGTAGCACATCTATACAGGGTGGTGACTTGCGTAACGCATCATAGGGATTTCAATGTAAAATTCATAACATGCGATTATTGGCTCCCCAAATTATTTTAGAGCAAAAATGTATTAAGGTTTTTTGTAGAAAAAAATTTTTTACGTCAATCAACCGCATTAGTTTTCAATTTTTTGCATAATAACGACGGAAAATTGGAAAAATAAAACCCTCAATTTTTCAATAATCTGTGATGCCATGGAATTTTCTAACACAAAAAGATATCTAGTTATCAATAGCAGCAGTTCGAAATGGCTTTTATGATCGACTTAGTTACTGTATTGCAGTTATTGTAAATTGTTATATTAGGAAACCGTTTTTAGTAATTTGGTCTTTCTTTATGTTGAATTCGCTGTTCTATAATACTTTTTGATAGAATTTGATTTGTTTTATAGCAGACATTCCATGGCTCCTGACGGATATTGGCCTAGTTCTTGTATTATAAAATTCCATAGCATCACAGATTATTATTGAAAAAGGGGTTTTATTTTTCCAATTTTCCGTCTTTATTTTGCAAAAAATTTTAAACTAATAGGGTTGATTGACGTAAACAATTTTTTTCTACAAAAAACCTTCATACATTTTTGCTCTAAAATAATTTGGGGAGCCAATAATCGCATGTTATGAATTTTACATTGAAATCACTATGAAGCGTTACGCAAGTCACCACCCTGTATAGTGTATAGTTTACTAACAGATTTATCACAAAAGGTGTCTTTTCAAATTATACTATTTTTTGAGAAATAAAGAAGACACTGTTGACACAAAAATATTTAAAAAAAAACTAACAAGATTGGCATGTGATAAACAAAAAAATCATGTGAATGATAATAGCAAAAATGAAAAAACAATGTAGAGTGTACTAACCTTGTATTGTCCGTTTAAAAAATGCTTTACATGCTTCGCAGGAGGCCACACCATAATGAAATCCAGATGCAACATCTCCGCAAACAAGACATAATCTACGTGGCGAATCTTCTTCTTTCATGCCATTCTGAAAGGGATCGAAAAGTAGATTCGGCATGATAAACAAGTAAAAACACAAATTATATGTAGTGTACTCACTTCTATTGAACTGATGCCAGATTCGGTATGCGGTTGGGTGGTCGATGAACAATATTGTCTTTCTGGGCTGCTGGATGATCGTAACTTTGCTTCGTATTGATTCCCAGACTCGGTCGCAAAATCAATCTGTAAGTTAATTTTTTGAGTTAATTACATTAATTACACAATTGTCCGTAGATAATAGCAATCAATAAATGGTTTTTACTACGATCTCCCTGAAAATGAGGTCATAACGTATAATTTAGACGCATGATATAGTCCCATTACCTATACCCGTGCGTAATGACAAAAATTACAATAGATCAAGTACGTTTGGAAGGTGATACTGATAATTATTTACATATGTCAAAAGACGTCGTTTTGAGTTTTGCCTTATTTTCATTTTGAAGTTCACCGAGGTCGTAGGAAAAGTATGGTACATAATTTGGTTGTAATGTGCGTATTACAGGTTCGCAGAATTGTCACACTCTCATCCACAGGATGCCACTCGTGCAATTTTTGTACTCAACGTTTTCATGTTTTAGCCTTTTTATTAAAGAAACGAAATTTCTAATGTTTCAAATTTGGCATGATCCTTATGCGATCTGAGTGGTGTTTACACGCCCCCCCCCCCTCCCCATCCCCCAAGTTGCAATGAGAAAATGTCATTTGTTTTCAAATAGTTACAAAAAAATTAAAAATAAATCGATAATAAATAAGGGAAAGATGCGTCTCCAAATTGCGCAACTTTGCTTCCATTTCATCCACTTCGTATCTCTTTCAGAGAATTTTGAATAGTCTCTACAGTAAAATGGGCAATTGTTAAAAATCACCAAAATTACAATATGTAAAAACTCCTACAGTCAGTCAGGCGATTGCTAAGGGTCTGCCGTACGTCTTTACAAAATTGAAAAGGGCACTGATATTCAAGACAATTCGTTAGCACTGCATTTGTAATTATTATTAGATCATACCTGCATTTGAGCTTCAATGCAAAACGTTTGTGGACTAGAAACTCCGGATATCCCTGTACTTTGTGTTTGAAATGAAGGAGAATTGTTGGGACGATTTATCGAGATTGATTTTCTCGCACCTACATTTTCTGGTATGTATAACTCGTCACTGCCACTGGAAAAATCGGAAAAATCCGAGCTTTCACTTTCGTACAACACCAAACTAGCCCTTGTCGCCCTTTTAGGTCTGTTCATCTTCAATTAATATTTAATAATGTGTTACGTTACGTTACATCAGAAATTACAATCCCTACTTCCTTCTCATACTCTTAATGTTCCCGTGAATGGCTGGCATTTATATCGCTTGCTTATATGTCAGCAATTACAATTTGCTGAGGTCGGTAACGACGAGACACGACAAGGATCAACAACACAATGCGTCTTTATATTATCAGTTTATCGACCATAGCAGCATTCCTTTTAAAAATATAACACTAAGAAGTTTTGTGGCATTTTTATACAATGATTCATAAGTTATTTCGTAAATTGGGAAGTTCTGCATTCGTTTACGAGACTTTCACAGCCTCATCATTTTTGGATGAACGAGACCTAACAGTTTCGTCTCGTTTAGCCAAAAATGATGATGCAGTGAAAGTCTCGGAAATGAGTGCAGAACTTTTCCAGAAATGAATGAGTACCCTAACTACAAATTGGAGTATTTTTTGCATAGCACTTGTACAAAACAATCCGTCTATGGGTATTTATTTGTTTATTTTTGATCTTTATTTTTAACTGGGCAGGCTGCTCTGACTACAGTGACTGTATAAAGACAGTGTGGTCATGTGCTCCATGTCGGCCATGTTTTTTCCAATTTATCATTGGTTTAATCGAATTAGTAGATTTTGCTATGGTTGCAATTACAATAAGGCTGTTGTTTGCAGCAAAATAAATTCATAACCTTGGTTCCAGGTTAATTTCTACCAATCTCCCCCAACTACCAATACAAAATAACACCACCGTATGACCACACTGTCTCTATAGACACCACCACCCATGTTGTCTTTTAGTCAATAAGTTTTGTGTTCTACTGCCTGGGGTCTGCTAGCGCCATTTTTAGTTTAGCTAGCATTGTTTAAAATTTTGGAAAAAACCTCGACTAGGGGCCGGGGTCCTATGTTTACGCCAACACCACCATCGCCTCCTATCACTTCCAAATTCAATCGTTATGATTGTCAGCCCCCCAATAGTGTGGGGGGCCATTTTTTATATTGCCACCAGTTTATTTCGTGTTAAATTTTGACAATTTGTGTTCTGCTCACATAGCTTCAGATAGCGTCAAAATTTTAAGAGCTGACGCCACCCCCAAGTAGTGTGGGGTAAGTTTTCCTAGTTCTTCTCACCTAGCGCCACTAACTGGCGGCGAATTGAGCATGCCGACTATGAGACGAAAAGGGATTTCTTGTTTGTGAGTTACCATACAACCTTGGCAGTTTGGGGTCGCTAGGGATGAGACGACGTTGGACATCCTTGGGGAGCGCGGACGACCTAATAGAAGCTGAACCTCTTGTTCGATTTTGGACGTGGGATAGCGAGGAATGATGACGTAGAGACCCTCTTTCTTCTAAGATCTTCTTAAAAAGGGATGTCTGAGATATTACCCAGCACCAAAGACAAATTCAAACCCATATCTTGCAAAAACGTGTATCGCATTCCCTGTTCGTGATTTTGTAGGTTGGTGGGTCAGTGAGCACGTGAATTTCCGAGCGCGAACGACCTGTTTGAAGTCATCGTAGTCCGCTGTTGCTGAAGATGCTCTTCAAAACGGTCACAAGATTTTGTTTCAAGAAGCCAAGTCTCGATCCCATTCCCCTTCTTCTACCTTCTGGAAATCTGTTATATCATTGGCTGATGTGTCATTTTTTTCTCCTGACGGAATAGATTTAAATAGTCAGGGGCAGAGTTGGACTAGGTCACTGGGTCACCTGGGTCATTGGGTTAAACCGTGTCACAGGGTCAAGGAGAAGGACTATGGTTGGTAGAAATAATAATAATAATAATAATAATAATAAAAAACACAAAACTCCTTCTTCACAGAAACACACCACGTTATCACAACCCACTCGTATTCAACCCAAACGCAAAGCCAAAGAAACATTTACACAATAAACTTCATTTTATAAAATTACAGGAATTATTATAATGATTTTTTTGTTTTGTTTTGTTTTCCTCTTTCCTGATAGCGTTGGCTATTGTGCCCATCAATAGGTATGTTGGTAAGTACGAATTACATTATCCCTAGATGTCCAATGTACCCCTACATAACTTCTTTTACTTGATTTTAATCCGTGCGATTAGTTAACCAGGCTAGACCTGAGTTCTCACAAGAAACACCGAAATAATAATAATACTACCCGGCGCAGTAGTTGGTAGTAACGCAACAGTTACTTCCTTTGTCGTAGAAACCTTATACATTAGCAATCCCACGACCTCAGAAAAAGAAACACCATAAATACAATTAAAAAACACAAAACTCCTTCTTCACAGAAACACACCACGTTAACAACCCACTCGTATTCAACCCAAACGCAAAGCCAAAGAAACACTTACACAATAAACTCCATTTAATAAAATTACAGGAATTATTATAATGATTTTTTTTTTTTTGTTTTTCTCTTTCCTGATAGCGTTGGCTATTGTGCCCATCAATAGGTATGTTGGTAAGTACGAATTACTATCTCCAATCTTATCAGATAATCCATGCCAGGCTAGACCTGAGTTCTCACAAGAAACACCGACCATAATAATAATAGTATTTTATTCCATAGACAAACTAGTTTGTGTGGAAATTGTCAACAAATATTTAAATTACGAGTAGGTACATTAAGTATTATATAGGTAAAAAACAAATTACATTAAATAGCGACAAACAAGTTACATTAAACAGTAAGATATTCACTTATATCATAGTGACATTTGTCAACTAGAAACAAATATAATTTTTCTTTAAAGATTGATAATTGCCTACAGTTACGTATTATGTGAGGTAAATGGTTATAGATCTTAATTCCCAGATTGGAAGGTGAATTGATTCCAATTTTTGTCTTAGTGAAATGTGGTCGAAGATTATCATTACCTCGGATATTGTATTGATGTATATCCTTACTTTTAACCATCTTGTTAGAGTTGACATAAATATATTGACAGATTTCAAATATATACAATCCTGTTAGAGTGAGAATTTTATGTTTTTTTAAGAATCCTCGACAAGAATCAAATTTGCGAATATTTGCAAGTGTTCGGATAATTCTCTTTTGAGAGAGAAAGACGCAACGAGAATAAGGGGATGGTCCCCATAAACAAATTCCGTAACGAATGATAGAAGCTACTGATGCGGGGTAGATCGGAATTAATTGTGGTAGTGTAAATATAGTACGTAAGTTTCTAAATAAATAATTAGTTCTATTTAACTTATTGACTATATTAGTACAATGTACTTGCCAATTCAAATGTGCATCTATATGTAAACCTAGAAATTTTGTGCTGGTCGCTTCCTGTAATTTATATTGATTAAAAGTTAAAGTTATGTTTTGTACATTAATTTGTAAATTAATTCCTTTCGTTAGAGTACCATGAAGGATGAAACAAGTGACCCTCCTTCTTTTGAAAACGGGTAAGAAAGAAGGGCAGTAGTTGGTAGAAAAGTTCTTTTTGTCGAGACCTTTAATTAGAATCCCATGAAAGGTAAAATTAATTTTCAAATAAAATACGCTAAACGCGCTACTCATCTTATCAGATACCATGCCAAAAAGAGACAAAGCATGTATAAATTGACTTTGGAAACTACTACTAACTATTCAATACAATTCTCATCCGTAGATCTGAAGACAATCAGTACTGGATTTTGCCAAAAAGATATTGAAATTGTTATTTAGGAACCAAGTTGGCTGTTAGGTGTAACGGGAGCCCGCGAAAGTATTTTCTTTTTTCGAATTCTCCGTGTAGAAGCGAGTAGTGAAATAATACTACCGCAGAGGGCACCGACTATCAAACAAGGAAACTAAACATCGACCAGTCAACTGCAACCTCAACGCTGAATAGGTGAAGGGCGTTAGTGGTATGACAACCGATTACGACTTCTTCCCCGATTTGTAACATTTTTAGATGTGTGTTTGTGAACCCAGTAAATGTGAGTCTATTGTAAATTGGGGCAAGCCGAGTGGTTATTTGTAATATAACATTTTTAAGTAATTTTGAACATAAAGCAATGTGTTTAACAAAATATTTCGTTTGATTTCCGATCCAATTTTTTTTAATACTTGGTTTTATAACACCCTGTTTAACTTTCATAAAATGCGCAAAAAGTATTTAGCTTGGGCAAGATCTCAGTTCTAAGATCTCAACCTTCAGATGAATGGAATTCCCGAAGGTATTAGGCGATAGAAATACCAAGATTAGTCGAAACGTGACTGTCATACACAAAATTCGAATGTCTTTTTACAGATTTAAGTGTGTGTGTTCCGGAAATCGTAATTTACATACCCCACTGTCGTGTATCATTGTCGTAGTAGTTGGCGAGTACATTTCACTATTCGACGGTGAACATTCCGGAAAGCTAGAATCCATTTCTTTTTTAATATGCGTTATTCCACTGGCGGTGACATCACTTGTCGACCCCGTGTCCGTCATCATGGATACCTGGAAACAAATTGAAAAAAGATAAATAATAAGTAGGTAATGCCTGCATTCAATTTTAACCAATTTAAAATGCTAATGAATCGAATGGCGGAAATGGAATTAACGATAATTGCCCCATTTTCCCCTGTCCTTGAAGATTTTTTTCAATCTGACTAGTCCTCGACGGAGATTATCGGCGCGGATTATTAGGGGCACTACGGTTAATTAGCGAGCATTTTAACTGCCGCTGTCTACCGACTAGAATGCGTCTAGCAAGGGGGATGTTAATTATACGTTGTTTTTTCTTAAATACAAATTATCCCGTACAGGTAGATCGATATGCACTGTCTACGGCATTAAATTAATGACCAGGCGTGTGTGTGTGGTGGTTGGCCACAGATCAATCAAAACACAGGATGAAGTCAGCGCATGGGCCACGCTGTCTAGACGAATTTCAAGGTCGCAACAGTAAATATTTTTAGGACAATGTAGTGTTGTGTAGACAAATGATCAACGAATTCGTTTATTCATGGCGAAGAGATGGTCACAGCGAGATAGTTACAAACAATAAAATTTTGTTTTTCAGTCTGAATCACCCACTAACTCTTTCGCGCCCAATTACCTAGGAATAATAAAACAAGTGTGTAATGTGAGCTCGCCAAAAGTAGTAAGAGATTACGTACGTACATACCTCACCACAGAGCACACTAATCCAAATTTGCTAATGCGTGGCCTTCCGAATTAACTGCAACAACTTACAATGACCATTTTTTGTCGTACTTGTATAACTATGTAATCTTGACGCTTTGAAAGAAAACGACAATATGTAAACTAACATAATTCATAGCGGAGCATAAATTTAATTTTTCCCAGAATACATTCATATATTGGCATTAATCCAAAACCATTTCCGATATCGTAAGTTACGACAAGGCTGGTACAGTCATATTCATTCGTTAGTTTCTAATTTAATTCCACCATGTTTAATTAAAGTTCACTATCAAATGTTGCCACGTATGGGGTGGTACATTTAAACCTATTTTTAACAGACTCCCCTGAGATAAATTCGAAAGCTGGATTTAATTATAACCCTAATAAATACTTGCAAAATGTAAAATAATGTTAAAAACTAGACTGCTCTTGAAACAATTTTGTGAAGGGGTTTGTTCCATTTGCAATTCAACTTTGATCAAATCGATTAGGTTTTGACATAAACGGGGTGTTCAACTATGAGCTAAATTATTACGCGTACGTGGGAAAGACAAAGCGACTTGCGTTTTTCAGCAAAGAAAATAATGCAAGCGAGGTGTAGCCATTTTTTAATAATTTACGTTAACAAGACTTGTACCTAATCTGAAACCATTGTTGAAATAGGTACTGTATACGGTGCCTTGGCTTCCTTAGCGAACCTTCAGAGCTGTGTACGCTCCGATTTAGATGAGAGCATGCTGGTTCCTACCCCAAAGAATAGAAAAGTAATGGGATTTAGCATGGAAAAAATTAACTTACCACAGCGTTGTTACAAATATCGTAAAATTTCAACAAATGCAGAACACTTGCTTTCAAAGGATCGTAAACTTCAGTTTATCCCTTGACATAACCTTATAAAAAATCGTACCCGTATATACGAGTATATTAAATTCTAATTTGTTATTTTAATCAAAAAAGTTACTATTTACTTTTGGAAAGTTTGCATGTTGCGAAAAGCTCTTACGTGTAGGTAGAAAAATTATCATTTTCATAAATAATTAATAAGAAGAAGAAATTTTTTCTATCCATTTCGGTTTCCCCTGCGTTTTGAATAGAATGTGTGCGATAGCGACTTTCGTAAGAAAACATCATACGACCCCACTAGTGGAGCCAAAACACTCTCTCTTACATTGCGTCGTCCGTAACCTGGATTTACATTATGGTTATCCTGAAGGTAATTCGACCTCGCTAGTCACTGCATTAGGATTATCATCCTAAGTGACGCCTTCCTTTGCCTACAAGACCAAGTGAGGAGGTTGGGACAAATGGTACAACAACATTAATTTCCGGCACGACATGTCACCAATCCCTACAGCGATTCCGGTAACTTCTCATGATGAGTATTTCCTTGATAATTGAAATTGCTTTCATGGTATGTGGTGATGTTTTTTCAGGGGTCATGTTCCATTATCTACCGCGGATCTTTTGAGGTAGAAAAATCTGAGAGCCTTATCCGGACAAATACTTATGGACCGTTCTGTATACGCCAAGTTTTTAAGGAAGGCTATGATTGTGCTAATGCACTTTTTTATTGGACAATAACCATTCAGCACCCCAAGAAGAAACGCAAAAAAAGTATATTTGTCAATGGCATAACGTTAACATGGAACCGTAATTAACCAGATACGAGTACTAGAACAACATGAGTGCTGTAAAAGTCGATCAAATCAGATAACTAATATGTGCAATGTATGCTCCGATGTAAATTCCGCTTATAAGTTATAAGCAACGATTGCACATAATAACCATTAACCTTCATCAGAAAAATGTGTGAAATTCCATGTTCATTATTCTCCATAAAGGTATCTCGAGATGTAATTACTAATAATTGTTTCACTGTATAATCAATCAATAAAAACGCAAGTAACATTAAAACGAAGAAAAACGAAACATATGCAAAATTCGCGACAAGGATGTAAGGCGGACGTAAGGTGCAGTTTTGACCTTGCACTTGAACTTTATAAGTAAAAAATAGTACTCGTTCAGTCAAGGCTGGCTCCTTTTATATACCAGTCTGCTGCGGCTGTCAAATTTTTTGCTGCACAATAAAACTGTATTTTATTTTTGCATCATTCGAGCAGTGGGACAAAACGCAATAATGCGGTTTTTAAATTCACTTCCATTAGATATTGATGTCAAATGTTATTTTCTATCTCGATACGCATTTAGATTTGGTTTATAGAGGAATTTATTTATATAAGAAGCCATCGCGGTTCAGTAACTATCAAATTCATTTCTAGGGAGGCTGTGTGATTCACCAAGATGCTATCCAATTTTGAATGTAAAATATTGGTACATAATGAAAATTTATTCGTATTATTATTATTATTATTATATTTTGGAATGTTTTTTCGGTACTCGAAGTTATTCAATTTTTGATCAAAGTGAAATACACAAACTTACGTTCACCTTGTGGTCGTGATGATTGATCATCATTAAATTGCAGTAAGTAGGTTAATGAAAAACATATAACTCCTCCAATACGTCGAAACATGTTCGGGGAAAAAAAAACGAATAGCTACAGAGCGTTCAAACCAATTACTATTTTTAATTTTGGCAAAAATTGGAAAAACGTCCATTTAGTTAGATAGACATAGAGGGAAGTTTAATGGAAGGTTTACTTCAGTCTTAGCATTCACCCCTGCACCCCAGCGATCACCACTGTACAATTATAATATGTAGCCCTAATCGAGTGTTGTGAATTAATTTTAAAAGATCAATACAAATACAAATAAATCAATTTTACACATTTCACGTTTTTTATTAAAATATTCACGGACATTAACAAAAATGTTTCTTGTAGGTGTTATTGTGAAGAATGCGAGGTGCAGTCTGGCGCTACCGCTACAGCTATACATGGAAATCTCGCAAACCATAGAAGCTACGAAGATGGTCAAATTAGGGAAAAATTGCGAAATTAAACAATTATTATCATGCTGTAAAGAAAAAACAAGAAAATTCCGATTAATTCCGAAGATTGCCAGAAAAACGGAAATTTACCGATTTTGTTTTTATTTTTTCTGCTGCTATTTTATTTTTATTTTACTTTATTTTATATATGGCCCATAAAAGAAGTACATACTGTATTGAGTATCATTTTTAGCTTCCTAGCATGTGCTAGGTAGCTATTGCGATAGCCGTTTTTTGAACATTTAAAAATTTCATCAAATGTCGACGTTTTAGACCATTTTAAGCAACTTTTAAAGAATAAAATTTTTTTCCGTCTGTATGTACGTACGTACGTACGCACGTTTGTTGGCAATTTTCTGAGAAAACGGCTCGACGGATTTTGTTGAAATTTTGTATATATGTTTTAGGCATACCGAACAGAAAAATAACGGGCCGGATTTTTGAAAAAAAATTTTGGAGCGCCGTAACGGCATCGAACTTTTTTTTTCAAATAGCAACCTAAAATTTTTATTCTATTATTTGGAAGACCTTATTTTCCTGTGTACAACCTACAAAAAATTGGGCCGGGTTATATTATCAAAAAACGGAGAAAAAAATTGTCAAAGTCAAAAAATTGTGTTGCATATGTGCAAAACGCAACGATCTTGTTTCTGAAGCAATTTAAACGAAATTTCTATGGTAAGTCCCTTTAATAAAAGCAAACAAAATTCATGCGCAACACGATTTTTGCGCATTTGCAGAAATGCAATTTTCTTATTTATGGAACAGTTAAAACGAAATTTGGATGGTAGGTCCTCCTAATAAAAGAAAACAAAATACATGCGCAAAAAATCGAGTTGCGCATGTGCAACATCCAACTTTCTTATTTATGGAGCAATTTTAACGAAATTTGGATGGTAGGTCCCTCTAATAAAAGCAAACAAAATGCATGCGTAAAAAAACATATGTTGGCAATTTTTGGTTTCAGCTAGGAAGCTATTCTGTCAAGAATTTGACACCTGGTTATATTTTGGAATGTTTTTTCGGTACTCGAAGTTATTCAACTTTTGATCAAAGTGAAATACACAAACTTACGTTCACCTTGTGGTCGTGATGATTGATTATCATTAAATTTCACTAAGTAGGTTAATGAAAAACATAACTCCTCCAATACGTCGAAACATGTTCGGAAAAAAAACTAATAGCTACAGAGCTTTCAAACCGATTGCAATTTGTAATTTTGGCAAAAATTGGAGAAACACGTCCATTTAGTTAGATAGAGGGAAGTTTAATGGAAGGTTTACTTCAGTCTTAGCATTCACCCCTGCGATCACCACTGTACAATTATAATAATAGCCCCAATCGAGTGTTGTGAATTAATT